AGGACTAGACATACAGCAACACAAAATAGTTGAACAAGTTTTTACTAGCTATATATATTCATACTTGCCAACTCTCCCAACTTTGGAGAGAGACTTGCAATAATTTGGACCATAAAAATGCACATTTTCAAGATTACTATTCCTGTATTCTATGATCTATTGATTATATAAGCTCAAAAGATGCTATTATAAAGTAATATTTGTCTTTAGTGGGTATGTAAACACATTTTAATGTCAGGTATGTTTTTAATTTTGAGCTAGTGGAATCTCCTGCATGGAAATTTTAAATTTGGTAGCATGTGTAAACACATGTATGCATGCATACTTATTCCTAAATCTATTATATATATAGTCTAGCCCCTCTCTTCTTGCAGATTTTTATCCAGTAAAATCTAACATAATTCATAAAATGTTTTCCCATTTCGCTATAGGTAGCCAGCTAGTTTGAATGGACTGAAGCAAAGTGCAATTATACCTATATGTAGACCATATAAGATGAAAGTAAAATGAAGTACACATACACACATGTATCAGTTAATCACAAGCTTAAAATCAGTATTTTATGAGTAGACACTTTATATTCCATCATAAATGTAATGGCCACTAGCTAGTAGATCCACTATGTATTACAACCCCAGGGCATGTAATAGCCTATATCGCTAGGTATGTATTGGCCAGGGCCAGTACATGTAAGCGAAAACTTGGGTCTACTTGTGATTCAACCAACACACTCATACTTGCCAACCTTTTGAAATTTCCATAGGGGAGATTCTGCATGCTCAAAATTAAATCATAAATAAACAAGAGTACCGCGGGGCGGAACAAAATACGCCCGCCANTGGGGGTTGCTGTGCATTTTTTATGACAAGAACCATATGTATATATGTACATTAGAATTTATTAAGTGTCGTTTAGAAAGAAGTGGGGCTACATAATGTACATGCATGCACATGTTATAGATGGGAAAAGATTGAACGGCATTATGACAAAACTTGCAATATGTCTGTCTATATACCTACTTTATTGATCACCAGGTTCACCCTGGCTGGCTGTAACTTTACCCGTACTTCTTTGTGCATGATCAGAATATTTTACCCTTTAATACTGTCATTGTCTGCCCAGCTTAACAAAATGTGTTTTTTTCTTAGATGTGGGCTACACAGTGTTTCCTAGACAGAACATGTTCAGGCGTTCAAGTGCATTTAATTCTATAACATTGCATAGAGCGTTGTTGAGCATTCACTGTAATTTAAGAAATCTGTTTAATTTGCACTATCTATGAAGTCGTTGTTCCAATCACATATTATGTCACTGTGACACGCCAGTAATCTCAGCCTATACAATTGAATTTTTATAACATGATCATCAACAATTGAACTTTAAGTCAACCCAACTATATATCGGTGATAATCACAAGTTGTACTGAATGTGGGGAACTTATATTATATACCAGGAGTAACTGGAGATTTTTAAAATTCAAATGTGTGCAGCACATGTTTTAAACATATTATAAGGCTTTGCTATTCTTCTTCTACTCAAAGGGACTGAGGACTAGACATACAGCAACACAAAATAGTTGAACAAGTTTTTACTAGCTATATATATTCATACTTGCCAACTCTCCCAACTTTGGAGAGAGACTTGCAATAATTTGGACCATAAAAATGCACATTTTCAAGATTACTATTCCTGTATTCTATGATCTATTGATTATATAAGCTCAAAAGATGCTATTATAAAGTAATATTTGTCTTTAGTGGGTATGTAAACACATTTTAATGTCAGGTATGTTTTTAATTTTGAGCTAGTGGAATCTCCTGCATGGAAATTTTAAATTTGGTAGCATGTGTAAACACATGTATGCATGCATACTTATTCCTAAATCTATTATATATATAGTCTAGCCCCTCTCTTCTTGCAGATTTTTATCCAGTAAAATCTAACATAATTCATAAAATGTTTTCCCATTTCGCTATAGGTAGCCAGCTAGTTTGAATGGACTGAAGCAAAGTGCAATTATACCTATATGTAGACCATATAAGATGAAAGTAAAATGAAGTACACATACACACATGTATCAGTTAATCACAAGCTTAAAATCAGTATTTTATGAGTAGACACTTTATATTCCATCATAAATGTAATGGCCACTAGCTAGTAGATCCACTATGTATTACAACCCCAGGGCATGTAATAGCCTATATCGCTAGGTATGTATTGGCCAGGGCCAGTACATGTAAGCGAAAACTTGGGTCTACTTGTGATTCAACCAACACACTCATACTTGCCAACCTTTTGAAATTTCCATAGGGGAGATTCTGCATGCTCAAAATTAAATCATAAATAAACAAGAGTACCGCGGGGCGGAACAAAATACGCCCGCCAAATGCCATATAGTGATATATACTTTCTTACATTGAAATAAGATCTGCATCATTCAAAGAGTGGTTAGCCGACATGCTATAAAAATGTAGGAGAAAGACTCCAGATAAAAAAATCAAATACTGAAATGAACAAAGGGCAATAACTTTTGCAAAAATTGTTGAACCAAAATTCTTTTCAAGGAAACACAACAACATATCATGATTATTTAGCCTACTAAGTTTCAAAGAAATCTGTCAAAAAATGTAGGAGTAGATTTCCGGATAAAAAAATCAAATACTGAAATGAACAAAGGGCAATAACTTTTAGAAAAATGGTCAAATCAAAATTCTTTTAAGGTGGACACAACTTCATATCATGATTGTATTGTATACCAAGTTTCAAAGAGATCCGTAGAAAAATGTAGGAGGAGATTGCCGGACAAAAAATCAAATACTGAAATAAACAAAGGGCAATAACTTTTAGAAAAATTGTTGCATCTAAATTCTTTTAAGGGAGACACAACTTCATATCATGATTATTATGTATAACAAGTTTCAAAGAGAACGGTCGAAAAATGTAGGAGGAGATTGCCGGACAAACAAAAGTTTACGCCGGACGGTAGGACAACGCCATACCATAATACTCCCGTCAAAGACGTATAAAAATGTGTGTTTATAGCCCCTGAAAATTCAGATGAAATCATTAAATCTTAAAACATATGAATAGCTTACCAAACTCACTGGTTTAAAATACTAAATTTAAGCGTCCTAAATCGTTAGAAAGTCTACCTCCTAAATAGGGAGAGTTGGCAAGTATGCACACCACTACAGTGCAAAATGGCATCTTTTGCTCCAATAATTAAAAACAATAGACACGTAATAAAGCTCTATTTCTACTAAAAGGCGTTATTATCATTTTATAGATATTTGTGTATATATATGACATTAGGGACCAGTAAATCTCATAGTTTTACACTTTCCCAAAGCCTAAGGTGATGCTGTGCATTTGATCTTTTTATTGACTTGAAGCTTAAGCTTGTAGAACAGTTTTTCAAATGAAGTTATTTAAGAAGCCAAGGTCAAGGTGTCCTTGGTAAGATATAGTCCCACGATAAACACTCAACATTAATTTAATATTACCTCTGTAGGAAAATTGGATACAGAAAATCAATTTAATTCTATAGATACCATGTCAATTTCTGTAAGCATACCTACGTTGACCTCCATTTCAAGTGTTCACCAAAAGGGACAAATAAATCAAAGCCTTTTACACAAACTCTCCTTGATAACGTAATTCAGTGCACATGTATGCCATAGTGCAACACCAGGTTGATCTTTATTGTCAAGTCCAACCTTATCAAATCTGTGCGTCACTCCACTATTCAATACTCTGAAACGTTAGCCACGAGAATCTGCTATTTATTGATGTAGCTCTAATGTCCCGCCTTAAAGCTTTATACTAGGGCTAACACTTTTCAAGGGTATTCTTCTGTCCCATCAGGCATGGTAAGCATTTTATCTAGGTAAGAATTTGTAGATATATATATATATTGATTCTTATCACTCAGGTCATCTCGTCCAAATTTCAATATTTCTCAAAAACATTCTACAGATTATTTTCACTTTAAACAAGTCAAACCCAAGATTTTAAGATTGAAACACGGTTGAAAAAGTCAAAAAACATACTTCTCATATGTAGAGCTTTGTTTATTTTCTGTAGAGATCCAGACAAAATATTTTTTCATTAAAATTTGGATAGCTTTGCCGAAATCACAATGTTTCATGTAATACAGAGCTAGAATTAATTTTGAATACCATAGATCGGTAAATTGGGAAGTAACTTCCAAATTTTACTAGTGCATTGGCAAATTCCACTAACCCAATGTTGTTCAACAAGGTAAGCAATATCTTTGACTTGTCAATCGGTCTACACAAGATTCCCTTATTTATTAGCCTCGTAATAACTGATTTCTGTCAATTTTGGCAGTCTGAATTTTTTTAACTGACATCCCATTTAACAGCAAATGAAATCTAAAACTGTCACCAGAATTGCCATCTTATAACCCCAACTTTGCCAAGACCTGTAGGAATAGGTCTTTTGAGAAGATTTTTTAAATGAACAAGGCAAGTATTGCAAGGCAACCCATAGTTCCTTACTGGTGATGGTTTCTTTAATCATCAAGCTGTCCACTGAAGTCAGGATATAGGTCACAGTGACAAACATCTTTTACTGTGCATTCCACCAGCCAAGACATACTTGCATATAAAGGTTACTCCAGGTGAAATAGTATAAAAGACATGCCCCAAACATTTTTTTTTTTCAAATGTTGAGATAAAATGGTCAAAGCATAGTTCAGAGTGCCCTGGACAAAATTTAGACTAACTTTCGTAAAAAAACTTCAGAATGAGTTGATTGCATGGGTGAAGTTTCATGAAATTCAGCTAAAAACTGTAGGAGTTGTTTGGACAAAATTAAGTCTAAAGACAGACGAATAGATGGAGGTACCGGTATAGATTGACGGATAGACAGACGGACAACCAGATTCCAGTGTACGGTATTATCATAAGGGAAAATAATCTGTAATTACCAATAAGAAAGGCACAGACAAATCTGGAAAACAGATAAGAATTTCTTACCATTGGGAGCCTTGAGCCTGGGATACTCGGAAAGTCATGGTGTTCATTGTGGTAGCCGACATTGAAGACGAGGTGATTGAGAGGGCCGTAGTATGAATAGGTCTCCTGTCCTTTGATAAACATGTAGTGTTCAGATATGAAATGTCCTGAGAGGGGGTGAAGTCCTGTAGACAAAAACGTTCCCAGAATCAGGTAAGTTAAGGACTTGCCTCCTAAAAAGTAATAGATACAGCAGTTGAAGATCAGCTGGCATACAAAGTTCACAACCTCCAGAGTCAAAACTGGTTGTGGAAGCACTAAAAGTGGCCGAATAGTGTAGAAAAATGGCTGAAGTATTACCCATACTAGTTTACAGAAAGTGTTGCAGAAAAGTTGTCCTTCAATCGGAGAAGGTACGTCCACATCTCTTCTCTCGTCACCTTGGTAACGGTGATGCTGAAGATGGTATTTTTTGAATGACACTGACATAGGAACTCCAAGTGGTAGATTTGCTATAAAACCGAGAATTCTGTTCGCCATTGGTCTGGAATGTCCGAATGCTAAGTTGTGAGCAATTTCGTGAATGGCAAGAGTCATGGAATGGTTGATTGTGCCTCCAAGAACATAACACAGAACTATGACAATTGGCCAGGACACATCAGCCACCATGATGGCTAATATAATCTGAGCCAACACCATGGCAACAACAATGTACTTTAAGTTATGGTCACATCCCATCAGCTGCTTTATTTCTGGATATTTGGCTGAAAAGATAAAAAAAAAAAAACGTCATGACAAGGTACATGTACTTTACAAATAAATTAATTGTTCTAGTACTTAAACTACTAGCCTATAGGTACCATATTTTATCGCGAATAAGCCCCCCAATCCTGAGAAAAAAGATGGGCCAAAAGTTGGGAGGGGGATTAATTTGCGAGCAACCCCCCTATTCACAAATGTCTGCCATCTTGGATATATACCACTGTTTTGATCTATGACCACACTAAATATCATGTACTTATCCACTGTAGTTGTTCATGTTGTAAAAATAACAACTAACAGACAGAATATTTTATAACAGTCACCAAAAGTTGATTAGTTGATGGTGCTGTTTTTTTTCTTAAATTATTTTCTATCATCGAATTGTCTCGATAATTCAATTTTATCAAACACCATTTTTATGATAGTTGTTGAAGCTGATAAAAAAAATTGAAGTTAGTTTAATCTTACCATCATGAAAAGCTACACACATTTTGGTAGATAAAGTGACATTTATTCCATTTCATTGCACTTCCACAAAGACTGAAAGTATATATATATAGCTTGAAATTTCCATAAATAATTTTTATTTTCCAGGTACATTTTCAACGCTGTACAGACCTTTATGCAGAAGGTACATATTATATCACAGTGATCATTAACACAACTTCTGTAAATTAAAAACTAAATTGTGCATAACATTCAAGTTAAATTTCTTAAATTTCTATTTATTCAAGCAAAGAAGTGTTTTTCAATATCAAAAACAATTTTTAGCAGCAACAGACTTTTCAGTAACAGACCAAAAGACATTTTTAACCGACCAACTTTTGTAAAATTACAGAAGAGATATATATACATGTGAAAGAGAAAGGTGATTTGAACTGAACCAGTCATTTTGGCATAGCCTGCTTGCTCTTAATGAAAACCCTTAGTAAGCTTCATTTTAAAAGCATATTTAACAAACTCTGGCATTCTTAGTTTAAAATACATGTACATTACTATTTAAGTGCTGCTACAAGTACATAGCCTCCGAATATCTAATTTTTCCATGTGTCTTTCTTGAACCATTTTTTTTTTTGGTGCTTCAAATATGAAATAGCGCTATACAAAAGTATGCCTGGTGAGATATGTAACATCAAAATGCTTCCAGACAAATAAAATTCACACAAAGAAACTCCTCATGTATGTTTACATAATGTCATGGCAGTCATACATTTAAAGTTGTAAACATATTTGCACATATATTATGTAAACGTACATCCAAGGTTCCCAATACTTAATATGTGATAAAATGCCATAAATAAAATCCAATATAACCTTTTGAACTTCCTTGCATACAAGTATGCAGATCACAGTTCTAAAGGATCTTGCAAAATAAAAAAATAAAATTACTCTGTAAATTAGGGGTTGTGGGCCCTTGATATTGTACAGTGCATATCGCCTTAGTATGACTAATGTACACACCAAGTTTTATGATCTTACCTTGAATACCTAAATTTGGCACAGTGCACATTGTCTTAATATGTGTATAAAAATCAATATATGTTCTCAACAAGTACTTAGTGCATACATTTTTAACACAGCTAAAACATGTATACAGCTGTATATATATATGTAGTACATCATATTGATTAATACAAAATGTCTCGCTAATGCTAATACTCTTTGCTACAATGAACATCCAATTTTTAATTTATACAAAACAGGATAGATCTACAGGTCTCTTGAGAATTACCATGACTCTGTATAATGTACATGTATATACCATCATTGACAACACATACATGCCAACCCTCCCTATTTAGGAGGGAGACTCCCGATTTTGGACCCTTTAAAAAAATATAGTGTTTTCTACCAGTGAATTTGCTTTTAAAACTGTTCCTATATTCAAAGAGCTAATGATTTCATCTGAAAGAACAACTCAAAATATGTCATTTCAATGGGTTATTTTGTCTCTAGAGGGTGTATATTCACACATTTTATTTAGGTTTTAATTTTGAACTTGCAGAATCTCCCCCATGGAAAGTTGGAAAGTATGACCACAGGTGATGTCACTGTAGAGTAAAACCTTCCTATAATGGCCCAAATTTCAAATTCAATGTCCTGTTTCTTTTTCTTCACATTTTTTTATACATTTGTAGGCATTCCTTGATATATATCAGCAAACCCTTTTAAACACCAGAATGCACAAATGATGGCAGCATAACACAGTTTTACTGTATACGTTTTCAGGAGTATGAAAATTGACTTGCTGGAGGACTAATTATATAATTAGTGTCCATATTACAAACACTCAAGAGTTCACATCTAGTCAAACTGCACTGTGATATATGTTGTGTTACCCATTATATATGTGAATGTCAAGGCAGACATACAATAAAACCTCATTATACTGAAATTACCTTTCCAGAGAAATGTTGGTGTTATATATAATATAGGGGTTTTGGCGATAAAATGAGGTCACTAAACATATAAAGGAATTATCAACATAGAGAGAAAGAAGGGACCTTGAAATATGTTGGCAGTTAGTAAGGTGGTAAATTAAACGAGGAGCATTATATCAAGGTTTCACTGTAAGTGTTTTCGTAGCCATGAGAGTGACCAGTTTCCTTCTTCCAGACATTTACAACATAACATGAATTTGTGTAGTCAATGCAATCTACCATATTTGACCTAATAAGGGTGCAGAGTATAGGGGTAGTTGAGAGAAGGGGTGCTCTTATTAAGGAACATATATTTGGAGTTTACAGCTACAGATTTTTTATTAACAGCGACTAAGGTATGCTAGGATGTATGCGTATATTTGTAACTGGGTAACAGTGAGTGAATAGAACACTGTTTTCCCGAAACTCAAGGGAAGCCTTCTGTCAAAGAAGAAAAGTTATAACTGGTCCTCTAAATCTCATGAACCCAAAACTACCTTAGATGCAACTTTAATTCCAATTTTTGTTTTATAATATGTAGTTACATAGATAATACATTTAGGAATTAACATGTGAATTTTCAGTTTAAAGCTACATATATTTTTTCAAAAAGTTTCCAAATATCCCGGATGACTGGTCTTGACCCATTACCTGCTGGTTTTTATTTCTTTCAGGAAAAAGGGGGGAAGTGTGTGCACCTTATTAGGTCAAAAACGGTATATGAACAAATTTAAGCAAAATACTTTTCTTATCACCTCAGAATGGAGCACAAATCCTGTGAGCCTAGATCTACAAAATGTCTAAACAGTTCTCATAGTAAAACTGAATTCCTGACACTGCTTCAAATATCTAGAATAACTTTGACCTTTCAAAATATTTTCTTATCTGAACATTGCCTACACTCAGACTTAATATGGTTTCACTAAAAAATAGACAAGAACAATGAAATTTTATTTCCTTAATAGCGTTGATGCTATGATGAGGTTCATGTGAATACAATTCAGATAACTGATCTGGATATAATATAAATGTGGTACATTCTATTTCTAATACCAGTTTACAACCCAGATAAGAAATCTAAAGACATAATAAACCAGGTATACCATATATGTTAGTACAATACTCGACCACCTTTAGCTAGCTAGAGTTGTACAATGCAGGGTCAACCTTAGATCACTGTACTAGCTGGCTACATACAATACACTGTCATGGCTGTGATTACATGATCAAACAGACAGACAGCTATAATAACATTCAACATTGTACAAAAACAAAGCAAGCACATATATATATTATTATACACCCTTATGTCACGATAGACCCACACACAATCATCACCCCATCTGACCCAATTAAGGACAAGACATGTACCTGCATGAAGACACATTTCTGTAGCTGTATTAAAGATACAAATTCCCTAATTCTTCCTACACAGGTAGCAGCAGTGTAATGCACAACATAAGAGGACTTCAAGGCCTGTATATCTCCTACACTGCCCTAAAAGTCCTTGTGTGACAGCCTAGGATTATGAGGGTAAAATATAATGCCTTATGTATACTGACAAGCTAGTTTTTCCATCGATGCTGTAAAACTCTGGGACATGCTGACTAGTTCAGCAATGGCAAGCACTAGTGGCTTGCTTGCAACCACATTATAAGTATACCCACTGTACATGTACAGTATATGACTGCAACACTGACTCCTGCAATCAACTGGTTTGAAAAACTTCTTTCAGTTGCCAGTTATATCATGAATGCCAACTTGACAAAATAAAATAAAATAAATCACAAGAAAACAGATTTCCTATTATAGTAACAGTGACCTTGACCTTTGATCTTTGGAAGCACTGCATGAAGTTTGATCGGCCCAAGGAAGCTTAAGTTATTGCACGAAAACAAATGTTCTATTTATAGTCACAGTGACCTTGACCTTTGACCTTTGGAACTGAAAAGCAATCCCAAGCAAGCACTTTTGGTAAGGAAGCACTGTATGAAGTTTGAGTTTGATCGACCCAAGGAAACTCAAGTTATCGCACGAAAACCTCTGTGCGGACGACACCAACACAGACATAGCAATACCTATGTGTCACCAGCTTTTTGCAGGCGACACAAAAATTGAATTAATTCAGTTGAAAGAGTACCCCCATGTGATGTCATGATAATGATGCCTTCAACGAACGGGCCATGAGATTCAGAGCCGATGAATGCCATATGAGTTCTTTGGTTGCAATTACCTTACACAGTGTCAGTTATGGCTAATTTAAAATAAGTTCAAAAATACAAATTGAACAGTATGTCTAACCCAACCCACAGTCTATCCTGCAAGTGGGGAATATAAATTCCAAAACTTTGCTGCTCTTTTAGATATGTTTTTTTTTACCCGAGTGATGTTATGACAACAGAAAGGTCTTCGGCACTTAAATTGCTTAATCAGAGGGTGGGTCGCTAGTTATATACAGTAGCACATCAGATACAAATCACAGGCACATGTCACATTCTGTACAACCAAAGATATACATAAATGGGCGTCAGAGTATACTACAAACATACATACAGAAAATACAAGTAATATACACAGGACAA